TATATATTATATATATATGTGTATGTATGTATGCATGTATATATGTTTGTATATGATAATATTTATATAATAGTGCGCCACCTACCCTTTGTCTTTTTCTTAATGTCCTCTACCCAAAGGTTGTCTGGAAGAGATTGCTTAGCGATAAGGCCGCCTTTTGTATCACTTCTCATTAATATTTACTGTATTTATTTGTTATTTCTCTTTTTACTTGGAGCAATAAAGTGTAAAATAAATAAATAAAAAATAAATAACCCCGTTTACGCTATCGGTGTGGATGTGGAGGGATATTAGTGAGTGATGGAAGACGAAGTAAAAAAAATTAACAACGATGGTTTTCAGGACGACCGTGAGGAGGTTGCGTTGTTGCGTATTGCTAACAATGTTTCTCCAGGGGTAAAGGGATTGTAAATAATGGGGTCTAACTGCCTTCTTGTTAACAATATACCCTATCAAGTGAACTGTGTGACAGTTCCCCCTGGAAACTATCGTGGTTAGTAGTTGTTAAATTCGTCACGATGGGTCAACTGACCTGCTTTTATCCTCACCTACTATTTCCAACAATATACTAAGGGCGTACAATACAGGAGCACCAGTAAAGGATGAAACCGTGAGGTTGAAGACTTTAACCCGTAAATACCTGAAGTTTCAAATTTGATACCGGGGTTATAAATCGCATTGGACGCCTACAATCGATTTTATTTTAATATTTGGCTGTTTACATGTTACCAAATGTTTTTTTCAAAATAAATATATAAAAACTTCGTTTTGTTTTTTTTTTACTATTTTTCCCCATTAGTAAGCACAGTAAAGGGTACACTTATATATTTTTTAATTAGATTTAAAAAATCAGGCTTTTAAGGATTAATGGATGACAATGGAATGGTAACTAACAATATACGCCGGCGGGGCACTAGTGAGAGATAGGTGATGACGAAAAGGCAGGTCAGTTAGACCATCGTAATAAATAAGCCTGGAATTCAGCACGATGGTTTCCAGAGGGAACAACGTAAAGGTCGACCTGGTTGAATTCTTGCTAGCAATGAGGCACTTAGTCTCTATTACTAACAATCCCCTCCCCCTCCGAGGTTGAAGTCTTTTTTTTAATGTATGATAATGGAATGGTAACCCCGCCTGCGCTATCGGTATACGCTGACGGGGTGAGCTTGAAGTCAGGTCAATTGGCCCATCGTGGCAAATTCACGACGATAGTTTATAGAAGCAAACTGACTGAAACCTCATTACTAGCAATGGTGTCGATTCTAAGATGTTATTTCAGTAAACTTGTCTCTTGACATATTTTAATTTGATAATTATACGAAGTTTCTGTTTTATGGATATACTAAAATTATAACAATTTTGCCTTAAATCTATTAGAAAATTAGAACAAATTGGTCCTTACAATAAAGATTTCGCTGTGATATTAAATAGAAATTTCAATTTAAGAGATAAGTTTAGAGAAATGGTATCTCAGAATCAGGAATAGGTAATATATAGCAATATCTATATATCTAATTACAATATCTATATCCTGGTCCAATAACGAATATGTTAAGTCAGTTATCCAAAAAATAATATCGTATAACAGACTTTTATTATATTCGAAAATAGATATCCGACAGATATGGACGATATCGAAATCGGTGATGACCTTTTTTAAGTCATCAATGTCCAGAGAAACCCAATATATAGATATCGGATTGGTATCCATATTCCCATGCCTACTCAGAATTGACCCCAATGGCTTCCCATTGTCTTCTTTGATTCCTAGAGGATCAAATAAAAACAAAATTATTTTGTTTGGTAAATTTTATTGGGTACATTGTATAATTATGGTTAAAACACGTGTACAACACGACGGACGGTATAATTACATCACTATTCAGTACAATTTACATTCTAGGGGTGAGATGTAGGCGTTGGACATTGACTATAAGTCCATACAAAAATATATAAATCTTATATTAATACTAACGGCAGTACTAGTTAATAACTGTGCGTATAGATGGACAAGGCACTGAAAAGGCACAATTATAAAGTCCAATAAAGATATGAGCATAGTTCGGTGCTAAGTGCTTTAATATGAATTGGCGTACTTAAGTTTGTTTATGAGTTAGGAATGGGGGGGGGGGAGCCTTGAAAGCACAATTATTTACTATCAGACATCTCTGCGCACAGCTGAAAGCTTCGCTTGTATCCAGGGGTGGGCATCAGTGAATTCTGGGGAGGGTACGGGCCATCGGGCCACCCTCCACTCAATACACCTATGGCATACTCATGTGCCATGTGCAATTTAAGATTATAACCTGATTTTCTTTCTTTATATTGATTAAAAACTAAAATAAAAACGCGACCAATTTTTTTATACAGCAAAATCACTGGTTCGAAGAAAATCAACGAACAATTTTCGGTGTTGGCTGCCCACGCATTCATTGCACATTTAAAAAAATATATACACAAACATTTGTTACTTTATTGATCATTCGTTAACTCATGATGCTTTACTATGCTGTAATCTTTGATCACTGGGACAGCAAAACTGAATGAGGTCTCCATTTAAATAGTTGTAATTTCACAAGCTAATTATTCAGTTCACATTTGTATGTATAAGTCTCTGATTAAAAATCTTGCAAGTGAAATTTAAAGCAGATTTAAATAAACATTAGCTCCCAACTTAGGATACAAGAAATGCTTCGCATATTTGTCAGAGAGTACATATTGCTCCTTTTTTTAAGAGGCAAGAACCCCTGGATAGTGATTCTAAACACGCCAATGTTTATGTGTTACCATTCATGTAATTTTCCCTTAAATTTCTCAGGAATTAGAAAGACTGGGGGACCATAGGAAAATATCTACTGTCAATACGCCATAGTTTAACAAATGCATAAGCTATACTCGTATGTTACGAATGTATTAAGTATAGGTAGCTTATTGGTAAGTAACAATCATGTTATATTGGCGTATGTTGTTATCAAACTAATATTCTTCTTTTTATCATAAAATTTAAACTTAAAATAAAATTTATTACATTACAAAATAAATTTTACACCATTCTGGTATGAATAACAAACAATTATTGCAGTATTATTTTTAAAACTTATGTTCATTTTTTGACTATGTCTATGTATATATATAAAACAGGAATTTTATAAACTTAATATGTTTCTCGTTTCCAAATATCTAAAAAAATGCATATATCCATATATAAGAGATTCTTGACACGTTTTACTTGTACAATAATATATAGATAACATAACATTAAGTAAGAAATCTTATTAATTACTTTTAAACACACAAATAAAGCTAGATAGTAAAGGAAATTATTTTTTAAAATAAAAAATTAATGGTAAAAAAACCATGGACGGAATTACCATAACAAATAAGGGCATTCGACAAAGAAATATGTATTACTTAATCCTAATTTATAAATAATCATAATTATTATTAAATTATTTTTTTTAATTAGTGACACATAACCTCGAAAAATGTGTAACGTAACTGTTGTTAGGAATGGCGCACACTGGATAATCAGTAAATGCATATTGATTATGATTACTCCTAATACACATGGTCAATTTATTATTATTGCCAATGTAAATAAAAATATTCAATTATGCGACCAAAAAAAATTATGTGACGTCACACATTGTCCTCAGTTTTTACTAACCTTATGCTGGATTTACACGATTGGCATTTGCCGCAAGCCCCAAGTCTCTACAAATGCTATACTCATACATATTCGTAATTACAAGACTTAAGTTTTCTTAAGGCCCAAGTCTTAAGCCGAACCAAAGACCGTGTTCTGTTTGTGCTTGTGGGCACTTGCCATGATATCCCCAATGTGTAAATCCTACATATTACTCATTTTTTTTATTATGGGCACATGTAATACTTAAGTTGTTGATATATATCGTTGGGTTAAAATAATTATGTTGTCTACCACAAACATTGTAAGTCATATAAAAATTAAATTTATTAAAATAGATCTGATCAAGGGTTCTTTTGGTGGTGTAAAAAAATATTTGCCTATTTTGCCCAGGCATTTAAAATCGACGGCGGAATCTTTTGCGTATATTTTAGTTCCGTTATAATAAAACACCTAAAATTATATGGTACATCGCACACATGTTATGCAAGTAGGTACATTACACAAAGACATTTTATCTACAGTCAAAACGTGTGCATAGCCCTTTAAAAGTTAGGGGCCCAGTGCTCTGTGATACAAGTGAAGATAATCAATTAGGTATTCCGCGACTAATTTTAGTAGATTCATTTAGCTATCATTAATACTTTGAGATGTGAGAAAGCTTTGGTGAACAGGACTGTTCGCTTTGAGGATCTACAAGCTTATTTATCCATCTTCCATTTATAAAATAAAATCTTGACAGGATGTAGCCAAAATTCAAGCCCCAGATGATTAGATGGACGGATAATATCGTGAACACGCATAGAAATATAAAAACTAGTGCTTACAATTTCATATATTCCTATCGTGACGACAAAATGGAATCAATTATACCACACTGTTCTACAGTGAATTATTAAAGCGCCTGTGGTATTTGTGAGGGTACTTGTATATAAAATATATACATGCTCTGCTATCTCGAGCATGCACACACGGAATACGCAGTCAGTAATGCGAGAATGGCGCTAATACATATGTACGTGCATCATTGTATTATCTGGTGGGTGAACATGGGGTATTGAGCACGGAGAAGTAGGTATTACCGCGCGTTACACTATTGCGTTCGATGGGTTTAATATGCAATATGAATCAAAACATGTTATCAGTAATACTGATGGTGAAATATTTGGGAGACTGCTTCTAAGATTTAAATTGGCCAATCAATGACCAAAATATAGGTAACATTTACAGAAAGAGTTAAAAATGCACTATATATATTACTAAAATATGTCCTACTTATATTCATTACAAACAATATCAGTCTGTAAGTGCAAATATAATGCTATCTCGTTCACGTTTGTGTTATAGTTTAGTCAAATATATAATTTAAAAAAGAGGCTGCTTACTGTAATAATGGCAATATCTAGACTTATTGTCAAATTATTCAATATAAAGTAAAAACAAAGTATGATAACAGAAACCAGATCTACTCGTAATTATAGCATATAGAAAGTCAAACAGTCCAATAAGGATCATTTACGTTATTAACATTTTAGCGCACTGCCTTTATGAGACATTGTAAATAATTTTCCCAAAATGTTTTTTTATAATTTGACAGATAACTCGACATTACCAGCCTTACGTGAAGCGCCCTCTATAACTAATCTATATTAATTGATCACTACACAGGCGTTTCCAGAGAACCTTCTATAGACAATGGGGTAGCTTCGTCCGCGCTGTCTAGTTCTCGAGTGTTCTCAGGCTGTACAGTTAGGGATGTATCTTCTTTCTTTTTCTCATATCATATTTGTGACGCTGGCATTGTGGACACTGTGCTGTGGGGGGTGGTAGGGCGCGAGCCAGCCAGGGAAGCATTGAGTGAGGCCATTGTGCCCATCTATATAATGAATAAAAAAGAAAATATTCGATTGGCCATCATATTTAAAAATATAATAAAATAGATGTAAAAAAGTTACTAAACAAATTGCTATAAAGATACCATAAACTGCAACATTTGAAAAACGGATTGTTAGTAATGCATAGTCCCATTGATAGTATCCCTTTGAAATTACCCTCTATATATCTCCACCATACAACGGGTCGACTGAAATGACTTCATCATCATCATTTCAGCCATCAACTGTCTACCGCTGTACATAAGCCTTCCTCTTAAGAGAATTTTACCAGTAATTGCCACACTTAGTGGATTGGCAACTGCAGTTAGCCTTTTAGGGGGATGCTGCTGTCCATCATTCTACCATTAAGTTTCTTTAGTCGTCTCTTACGACACCCACAGGAAAGGAAGGGATAGCCCATGCTATGTCAGGATAAAATGGCCAAACGACATAACGTTATTCTCATATATCATTGTTCACTGGTACCCCGCCAGCATAACGAGGAATTACCATTACACTAAAAAACTCACCCTTAAATGAGCCAAATCCTCCAGTTTAGTCAAGTCCGCCAACTCCAAATATAGACTGTACACGAGCACCCATCCATAGACACCACACACGCAGAAGACAATCCAACACAGGCACATCAGGATATTGTAGGCAAAAATCATGTCATTCACTATAGAAGCGAATATAAATGCCACAGTCCTAAACAATATGAATACGCCAAATGTATACAGCCACGGCACTATCCGTTTTTCGTGTTCCTGAAAATTATAATCAGGTTTTACCATAGAATGAGTTTTCCATACTTACTCCCATTCCTATGCCCATTTCTGTGCATGTAGTATTTTAGAGTTTAGGTTTTTTGCCTTAATATGTAAAAATTCTTTGTCCTTGTTTTCAGTCATGCTAATCTCTGAAACTCAATCGATTTTAATGAAAATTTATAAACGTGTTTTATTTGCTCCAACTTGAGAGATAAAATTGTCAATTATCTTGAACATAAAACAGTTCTGGAAATTTGGTATAAAAACAGATCATATTGTAGACAAATAAAATACCATTTAACCTAATTCAGATAGGCAAAGCCATATGATAGTAGCTAGTATTTAATTATTATATTGCTTACTGCAATAAGAACAGAGATCTCATGTGCATAAACCATTAAGAGATGAGACTACATCTAGTTTTAATTTTATGTTTTATTATTATATACTTGTACCTTGTTTTTAGCCTGCTGAACTAACTACAGGATGGCAGCATGAGTGAATGAAATGAATGGGTGAGTGAATATGATGTGCAAATACAAAAAGCAAATACATTGAATGAAATATGAACAAGCGTAAACAAGAGATGAGTCCAAATTTTAATAATATTATGTAAAAACATTATAAATTATTTATTAAACGTTAAATAAATTACCTTTCTTAGAGCATTAATGAGGATAATGCTAGTTATGAGTACCGCGACAGAACCAATCCAAGAAAATAATGCAAACACGATGAGAACATTACGGACTGGAATAGAGAAAAAATTTAACATAAATGTGTAATAATTGTTAACACAAATTAAAAATATATATATCAAGTAGCTTTGTAATTTGAATGTTTATTTTACACAAAAAAAAAAACAAGTATACATGCACAGAATTAATCCAGTAATTCAGCTACAACTTTTCTGTAAAATTTTTTTAACTTTCCATCATTTCCTAATAATTTTTCAAAGACATTGTTACCTTTAAGACAATACACAGCAATCAAATATGGTATTTCTGCTGGTAAGCAGCCACTGCATCTCATGAACACTTGCCACACCAAATAAAGGAATCACCAAGTAAATTATTAATGTATTGTGACATACAGATTTTGTCCAACTTTTTTTATATACTCATAAACTATGCAAAGGAAAATAATGGAGAGGTGGTCAAGTTTTTGAAAAGACACTATGACTTAATAACTCTTAACTAAGCATGTAGAATGAAGGTAAATAAATAGTAAATAAATTTGCCAAGTTACAAGACATTCGTAATTTTCCCCATATTGATATCATTTTTATTATAAAAGATTATAACAAATCTTACCTGGTGCACTACCAACATAGACAAATTGGAAACTAAGAACATAGTAGCCATAGTGTACGGAGCCAGGTGATGCCATCCCCAAGCAGTACAGGTCAAAAATGCTCTGTGCAAATGTGAACAGAGATATGAACTGGAACAAAAATAAAAAAAAAAATATACAAATACCTGATAACAATATTGTTTCTATAGTATAAATAAAATCATTATTAAAATCGGAATATTAGAATTCTTATTATTATATACATATACGTACATTAAATAGTATAAATGTGAAACTGAGTTTGTTACTTTATAATACCTAAATACTTTATAAACTTTTATAATAAGGACGACTATAAAATTTGGTATACACATACCATATAGGATGGAGAAGGATAAGGTACTCTTTATCCCAGTTATTAAATATATTCTAGTTGTGCAGACAAAATTGTAGGTAATAGCTAGTATATTCATACAGGCCTTTAGCAAATTATTATTTCTGTATACACTACACAGGACTTGGTGTAAAGTAGTGAATAAATACAATTAGCTGATCTAACAGACACTGTCCTGTTAAATGATCTGTCAAATGTGCAAAGTTAAAACGGTCATAAAGTATTTTCAATTTTCAGCATAATTTTCCATCAAAAACTTCTACAAAGTATTAGAAAACTTATAAAAAATTAACAAAATTGGTTAAGTCATTCTCAATTTACAGTGTGACTAAGAAAAATAAAGATTCATTAACATATATAGATTACTAGCTGATTCAACATTATCACTACCTAATGTCTGTATTTTTTTTATTGGGTTAAAAATATTCTATCTCTGCAGTTAGAGCAAATAATACAAATTTATAAAATTAAAACTGGTGAAGTGTATGTATGTAAAATATCTCATATTGTTACTTTCATCACAGCTGTCATCACATTACTTTATATACCCAAATATCTTTTTCTTTCTTTGCATCCACATTTTCTTTCAACCCAACTTCTTTTCATTTTACTGTCCTACAAATAACATCTTCTAGGTATTTCTTATTTATGTACATTTTTACTATATTCATTGTAATTTTGTTGTTCTTCTTTTAACTAAAATAGATGTTCTTGAAAGTAACTGTGAGTAAAAGGCATATGAAAATGCTGGAAGTAAAGGGTGCCTTACAAGAGAAATAAATCCTGTGAGCAGCGAGCCCCTCTGTAGGTCTAAAAAAAATGCATCATGCAGTATAGGCTTCTGGTACCATGGCACTCGGAGAGATCTCACAGATTTTGTTGAACGAAGATTTGATGTTGACCTGCAAAAAAAAAATGTTTAATATCTCCTTTCATTCATAAATATTTTTAATTACATACTGTCACATTTAGACACTTCATACCATATATATGTAACTTCTTAATCCCTGGCAGGTTTTTTTTAGCATAGAAATCAAGAGCAAAAAATTTTTGTTTTTTTTTAAATGGACCCACTCCTTGTTGACACAACTCATAACAGTATACATAATATTCTTGACAGTTCACCTTCACACCTTGACAATATTTTATACCTCCAGAGCTTAGAAGGGTAAATATAAGCTATTTTTGTATGTAAAGCTGATTATCCATTGCTGGCACTATCAAATAAACAGTTGATCTATATATAAACTATATGTGAACTAATCTATATATGGGAGGGAAAGGGATTGTTAGTAATGGAGACTGAGAATCCCATTGCTAGCAATATACCCAACCAGGTCGACCTCCTCCCCCTGTAAACTATCATGGTTAATTCCTGATGAATTCATAATGATGGGCTAACTGGCCTGTTTTCATTCTCATCTATCACCCTTCACTGGTGCTCTGCCAGCGTATCCAGTTATCGCAGGCGGGGTTACCATTCCATTTTCATCCATAAAAAAAAACTAATGTATATATAAAAAAGAAACTGGATAAACAGATCTAATACAAAAATAATTGTTATTTAAATATAACTTAGAAAATAATAGGCATGCCATTCATATGTACTGCAGCAATAAGAAAATTTTATTAATAAAGAAGTTAAACATATACATTAAATTCTTATTTGAAAATTCAATGAGAAAGTATCAAAATATAGTCCGGCTACAGAATTAAATAATTAATAGCATTAACACTGAACTTACTTCCCGGTGTAATGTGAGTATACAGACGGTGTGGAACGGTAAGTAGACGGCGTCTTTCTTCCATACATTTTGAATTAAACAGCAAATTTCGTTTATATTTCTAAAGTTAAACCCCTACAGAATCGAGATTAGTAGATAGTGTAAACAGCATCAACCTTAAGATGCACTTGTAAAACATGAAGGGAGATATAACTAATATTGTTCTTCTTTCATTTAGGAGTAATATTTCTAATTAGAAAATTGATTTTATAGTAGAAAAAAATAAAATAGCCACGCCTGTAAACTGTTGTTTAGCAAATTTGACAGTTATACTATACTGTTGCCAGTAATCAGTAATTAAATAAGAGTTGCCAGAAAAATAATTATGTATATTTCCTTTTTCTCGATTTTATTTTTTATGTCTTAGAAAGATTATTGTAAATATTGCTACAATAGAACCTTTTTTGTAAAAAAAATTCTTTTTGTGCAACATTCATAATTAAAAAGTAATTGTATATTTTCTTATGACAAATTATATAATAAAATATTTTCTGTAATAAAAATTACTAAAAGAAATATGACTTAAATACAAAAATATCCTTTTATCGCTCTTCGGCCTTTTGGTTAAGATCAAAGTATAATAAATAAAAAAACTTTGGTATCGTGGGAGAAAATATAATCAATGAACATGAATAAAAAATGGGCAATGAAGTAGAAGCAAAATTTACTTATACACAAAACTTTCGAACGTATAGTGGAATATATTGTACGTTAAATTCTTATCTTCAAACCAAGTCGCTTGCGGGCTAGTCAGAGGAAACTGAATGTCATTAATCTCTATTTTTTTATATGCAAGCCTTTTCTTTCAAATAAAAATAAATCTGTGATATGATGTTCGTTTACACTAATCTCTGAAATCATTGCATTGTTTTTAATAATATCATTATTATATCAGCCCTTAACTGTCCTTAACTTGTCCTTAATAGCTGAACATAAGCCTTTTCCATAAGTTTTGTGTTGCCAAGCGTGGTAACTGTATATTGTTCATTTATTCTGACAAGAAAAAAATATAGACATAGTATTCATTGAAACGTCCAAGAAAAGAATATATTCGTACCCAATAGATGGCCCCGCAAGGAAATATGTTTTTCGAGTGGTCTAGTTTTTAGTACAGAACAATGATCGCCGGCTGGTAATAATAGTGCACATAACATATATAATATAATCTGGTATCTTTTTTCAGGTCTTTGTCATTGTGTATCTGTTCACTCTCATATGTATTACGGTCACACATTCTGTATAGATTACTTCTACACAAATATCTTACGAATATTTGACGAAATTAGAATTGTTCAGTAAAACACAAATTAAAAGATGTTGTACAAGAGCCAGCAAAGTGAAATAGTATTAAGTACACTAATGTTTTGTATTTTTGGCTATAATTAGGTATCCCAATATTTCCATACCCACTACAGTATCTAACCATACCAATTAAGGATTCGCAGATTAAAAGAAAAACAAAATTGAATGACACTATACATTTTATTCGAAAGAGCAATTTTCTTCGCAATAATCTTTTCGCAAATATTTACTGTTTACATAAATAGGACCACACTGCCACAGACACTTAGGACAATCCAAATTAGTCTTGTACTTTTTTGGGTCAGCCAAATTGACCCATCCATTATAAGACTGATCACAATCCGACGTCAATGAATTTTTGTCGCATTCGATGTAATTTTTCCATTTTTTCGTGCTTTTTTGATGATTATTATCAACAGGTTTTTCATGTAGGTATTTTGTCAGCTTTTCGATTTTTTCCGCTGCAGCCACAATCAAATGTTCATGGTAAGCCGAATTTTCGATGATGGTGTTCGTCTCAGGAAAGTCGGACACTTCGGTGCGATTCTCAAAAGACAGGTCCCAGGTGTCGAAAGAATCATCTCCAACAGATACGGTGGCCGGTGTAGCAGCTGAAATTTTTCATCATTTTATGCACCTATGGAAATAAATAATGCATATTATTTGTGTGCATTTAAATTATTATGAAGTAATAAAATACACACAAAATAATTTGTGTGGTGACGCAGTAATTATACATTATGCTCTTTTTTATGTCCAGAACACAAAAGACGACTTCTGTACACACATATAAGAATGAAGCGTTTCTAAGACAATTCAATTTGAAAAGAGAAAATTTAAATATAAAATAAAAAGATTTTTAAAAATCGTGTACAATTTGTGGCTGCCAGTATGTTTGCAACAAGAAAGAAAACTGAAAAAACTCTATCTAATCACTTTTTTTGGTAACAATATACTGTACTATGTTGTGATACAATATATTTTAAAATTTCGTAAGAGTCAGTAACGCGCGCGTGACATCCCTAGTATTACAAGTGTTCATAGGCTATTGTAACTCTGTTTACCATTAGAAGGGCCGTATGCTTGTTTGTCACCGTAATAGTATATAAAGCAAGTATAAGATATGTAACTGTATAAGATACTGTAATTGTTCAAAGTATTTGAAAATAGATAATTATATAGCAAAAATACTTGCATTTTCTAGGTTCATTAGGTAGAAACCAGTCTTGTGGTCCAGACCCGCACCTATAGAACGGAGACTGTGATCCATGCATCATAAAGATAAAAGGCGCAGCCTCTCCCCTTCCAGTCATAAATTCTCTCATATTTTCAGAAAACTGGCTATTGTTTTGCCACTGTTCGAAGCATGTTCTAAAAAACTCAGATGGATTGTCCTTATTGCGGCTCAATACGTGTCGGTGGAAGCATTGTTCGCAAAATACTTGTCCGTAATAGATTTTTAGGTTTTCTGTTGGTATTGTTTGACAAAAGTCTGTAAGTACAAATTTATTTATTTATTCATTGACCTTTCATATAATTAAATAGTGTATAAGGTGGGATAAAATCATATGTCGTTATGTACCAGTCAAGCATAGACAGGAATAACAGAAAATACAAATTATTGTATTTATAGATGATAAGACTTCTCAAATATATCAGAACTAGCGGCCCGTCCCGGCTTCGCACGGGTGGATATTTTTATAACATTTTAAAAAGTGGTTACTGTGACATAACGATGATAGTTGGACATTATATAGTATTGCGAAGTTTTTTGTACTTATTGATATTTTCTTCAATATTGTAAAACATACTTTTATTCTATTGTAGTTGTTCGGAGGAAATAAGTATATCAATTAACTTTGTCTATTCACATATATTATATACTGAAGGTAAATATTATATACAAAGAAATATGTAGAAAATAATATATAAAAACGGAAATTAGAAATGTAAGAGGCGAGCGATCGAGATGGAGAGAATGATAGCAGAAATGAATGTAAATAGTAAACATGGCTGTCATGCCTCTACGAACAGTCCGAAAGATAGAAAGAGGTGAAATATCTATGTCCAATTTATTTAACCTACTTGATGGAAAAGATAGTAATGATGTTGACAAGGGGCTATGAGATGAATATGTACCTACAATATTTATTTACAGACGCCACACTATCACCAATAGTTTACGCAGCGCACGCGGCGAAAAATATTTTATAGCATTTTTTTATACCTTAAGTTACGTTACTAAAGTTTTAGTAAGGATCCCTAATCTTTTCTAGCAATAAACATAATAGCCTATGTTACTCAGAGCGAATGTAACTTTCTAATGGTGAATGTGAATGAAATCGGCATAGTAGTTTTTGAGTTTATTCATTACAAACACGCATACACACAAAAATACAAATCTTCCTTCTTTATAATATTCGTGTACATTATTGTATAGTGACGGCGTTAATAAAAAAGAATATAATAGATTTAAAAAAATATTTTTTGACTCCGAGTGAAATGATTATAAGTTCCTTAAGAAATCCTGACGAAACTCCATGACAACTCGCAATATCCGAATTTTTTAAAAACTTACAGCATTTTGCGCATTGTGGATGAAAGGTCTGCCCACCGACATCCATTTTGTTATTTTCGTCCACAGCTTGCAAGCATCGTGCGCAGATGCATTTTCGGGGCTGGCTCTCTGCATCGTTGTGCGATTTCATTTCTGTTTCAATGTAGAATTTTATGCATTTGATCTGTTACTACATAAAATAAATATAATGCAACTGCAATACTTAATCGATAACTTTTTAAACCAAGAAATTTGTTTAAAAAATGTGAACACCTATTACTTCAATCGTCATTAATGTTTGGACCCTTAAAGACTTATGATACATTTTATAACAGAAAAACCATTTTAGTAGTAAAGACTTCGTATTTACCTGCATCCTTATCATCAGTACTCTCTTTAGCTTCATGAGGTTTTGTACCAGGTGCCCACTGCATCCACCAGCTATTCGAGTGGATTCGTGGACTCTCCCCCCTAAATTTCGTCAGGACATGAGTTTTGAAGCATTCGTTACAAAACACATGGCCGTAAAACATTTTAATGGAGGTAGGGATAGTTCGGCAAATACCTTTAAAATAAAAAAACCTTTTTAAAGCAACTTTTTAAGGTAATTTCAATTATGGAAGATTACAATAGAAAATAATACCTATATAGCTACTAAAAGTCATGAGATATTACTAGATTTATAAAGGAAAGAAATGACAGTATTTAAAATATTACAGGATAGTAAATCTATGGATGCCAATGGCATATTCTATAACCGTTCTTTTTAATTTTTTTTTTATGTTGTATGTTATATTTTAAAGTGAATTGTGACTGACAATTTCAGCCGTTGTCTACTTTATTTTAAGCGGAAACTATGATAATGATGAATAATGCAGAAAGCAACTTACAACACGTACTGCAAAGCCTATGAAAGTTTTGACCTTCGATGTCCACTTTATCTTCAGGCTCTATCTGCATGAAACATCTAGCGCAATAGCATTTCTTTGGTTGTTCTTGCGAATTCATGTTTAAAATTATATGGTACTTTCAAATTTATAATTAGAAAATGTTAAATGAGTGAATTTAAGCAATAATTTTTTTTTATGTAATCAATAAATTATTTCCATGATAGTTTAATATGAAGGGAAATGAGAATGAAACAAAAGAATTATACAATAATACAGAAGATAGAAATTTAAAATTTAGAACTTTTCGACAGCATTTTTAAAATAATGAGTTTTATTAATTTTATGTAAATACTTTTTCGATTTTTTTATAATTCTTCTGTCACATGTTCTTCGTGTATTTACATAAATAACAATTACATAATTTACAATCTAAACTAATTAAAAATTTGTATAAGAAGATAATTGAATTCGTACAAACCGGGGCGGGTTTCATTATAAGAGTCCTTATCTAAAAAGGTCTCTAACTTATCAGCTCGGAAATAAAAACTTTAAATTGATTTTTATAATTTCTTTTTACGCTTCATTTCTTTCGTTAAAAGAGGTAATTTTCTTAATTAATGACTACATATTAGTTTTAAATTTGCGTACATATTTGTATTTCCATTTCGATTTCAAATTTCTCGACTTACGATGTTGAATGTTTGTAAGCACTAGTGACAGTTACGATTAATCAATTTAAGTTAGTTATTTACAACACTAGTAGAGCTTATGTGTATGTGTGATATGTGTTCGTTGTTTGTGTTATCGTGTTTTTATCAAAAAAGTGATGTTTGTTAAATTGTTTTGGATTAAATCTACGCATATTTAGTGGTAAAGTAAATTTCTTATCTTTTCATAGCATATTTGTTTAATAATACGTTTGTATAATACAGATTGCATAGGTTATGAGGGTCGTTCAACGGCCGAACCCATGTTTTTGATGTTTTACATTTAAAAAAGTATGCTATAGTCCGGGTGCGGTCCTTTATAGGATATACGATTTCGTAATTAAAGAAATAAAATCAACTTTATGTCTCCTACGTTTGGTATTTAAAATTTTGGAGGAGTAAAATCGTAACTGGTTTTGTTTTTTAGAGTTCAACTTATGACCTAAATGTTGAGGTTTCACGTTCGTGACCTTCAATTTAAGCGATAAAACAAATTATAGAAATAAATTACATTTTCTTTGGAAAGTATCGAAAATATATGTATGTTATTTAAGAAGATACTTTGACATACTTTTTATTTCAATATTTTCATTGTAGAATAATTAATTGATATAACATATATAAAACCACAGAAACAAAATGCTTTGAACTTCAATAGGTTCAAGGCACTCTCTCTAAATAAATTCTACCAGGAGAAGAATTTATATAATATCATCTGCTTGGCTATTCATGTTTCTGCCACCAAGCATCTGTTCTTATAACATTGATAGTTATGGTAGTGAAATTATTAGGTACAGGCAATAGAGGCATAATTCTTTAGTCCTTAGGAATGGAATGGTTTATGGCAATGGAATATAACTGTTGGTTTATACTTTAATAAGTCTGTTTCTTTGTTATATTTCCAGTAATTTATAATTTTTTTTTTTGTATAATATTTTTTTTTATATAAAATAAATAATGAATTTATTTAAACCAACTAATTGAACATTCATTTTCCTGATATGTATTGTATACAAGATTCCACTATTTTCTTGTTGGAATAATCATTTGGGATTATTGTGATTCTAGTCGTTGTATGTATACTCATATCATTATTTGGATTAATTGTATTGAGTATAGATTTATATGGATGAAGCAGTATGTCACAACTGTACTAGTTGTGACATGCTACTTCATTCATATTATATAAAAATAAATAGTTATTAATATGTATTATCATAATATTTAATAAACATTTATCTGTGAAATATCTGTGATATCAATATTGTAGCTGAAATATTAAAACTGCTATAGAATAGGTCTATTGAGTTTATGTAAAAATGTTATTTTCATAATGATTGTACATTGTAATATTATTGTTAAAACAGTTTTCAGTTGGATTGTCAATGTTTTTAAGGATTTTCCTATTTGAACTGCTGTTTTGGATAATATTAAACTCTTACTACTGTAAATCAGCAATCTGGATGATGAAAAAAGTTCTTTATATAATAAATGTTATTAAATATGTACATATTATATGTGTCTCCCGTTAGGGTGGGCAGAAATAATGGAATGTCAAATGCTTTCATTCAAATGAGCCTCCTTCGCTTCCTCCACATTCATTAAATTTTTTATACACACATACATCAAGTATAAATAATTATTATTATTAATTTCCTATAACTCATGAAATTTTTTCATGCACCAAGAATATTATTATTATTAATACATCTTTAGCATATTCAAAGCAAAATGAATCATGTTATTGTTATGATTAATATTAATTTGGAATTTAACCCCTTAATTTGATATTCTGGTGACAGTTTTATTGAATTGAAAATATGGAAACCTTATAATATGGAATGTAAATGCATATAGGCATGTTTGAAGTTATTATAAACTTATTTGTTGCAGAATGGTCCACCTGAATGTTAACAAAAGAAAAATGTCCCGCCATGAGAAAGCAAAAAGTGGCTTTGTAAGTAATGCTTATAATATTTTTAAATTCATTTAATTATCTTTATTTTCAAAATTTATCATTCTTTCTAGATATTTATGACTTTTTACTTTTTTTCCTTTATCTTTAGACCAAGGGTATGACAAATGATCACTTTCTTTCATTTTTTAAATGAAATGAAAATGTCCTTATTTTTATTGAGTGATATTTTAAATTGACTCAGTTATTTGATCACTTTGTACAAAAATCTGAATAATTAGTCAACTAATTAGTAATTGTAAATCAATTAAAAAATGAGTTTCAGATCACTTTATGTATCATATGAAACAAAATCAAAGAGGTTTGCACATCACACATAAGTAATATCTCTAATGTTGTGGGCAATTATGACTTGATGTTCACTTATCATATACCTGCTTGCCATTCTTGTAAAACAATTTATTTTAGAGGTTATTTTTTTGGTAATTGAGAATCTTATTTTGTACCCTATTTTTTTTTTATTGTTTGCATTATTTAACAGATAGACCTTCATAACAGATTTACCATCTTAGATACATTCTCTCTCTTAGACTAAGGTCTTATGGTCTGAATCAGCTAAATATTATTGATTGATTTATTCCATAAATGGATAAAATGATAATGATTATATAAATCATCCATTCATCATCATTTTCCTACCCTTATCCCAGTTATTATTTGGGGTCGGCGTAATATGTTTTTATCCATATTACAAAAAGATTTGGCTTTAAGTTTTACGACTGGCTGCCTGCCTGAACCCTCTTTGGGAAATATAATATAAATCATCCATTATTATCATAAATTAGATCTTCAACTATATCCCATTTACAAACAATTATTTTATGTTTAGACTTTTATTTTAATAGCTTATGCACAACGGTTCTGTGACATTGTGCGATGAACGATACTAGTATTGTCTGCAAGTAAATTCTAATAAAATTAATTTACAAAAAAAATATATTATTATACATGCACAATATAGTACTTTATTTTATTTTATAATTTATTTAACGTTATACTAATAATTATTATTTAAATCTTTATCTTTTAGCTTTGCTCTAAGTTATGTAGATTATAGGCATTATAGATACTATTTGCCTCCTGTCATTTAAAGGATAAGAGATGAACTAATCTTCCAGTGTAATTGGTTCTCCGATCGGAGGAAAGGGAGTGTTAGTATTGGAGATTTAACAGTCCTATTGCGAGCAATATACCCTATTAGTATGACCTCCATGCGGTTCCCCATTGGAAACCATCTTGATTAATTCTTTAAGAATTTGTTATTAGGCCAGCAGATTTATTTTTTAATCCTCATCTATCATCTCTCACTGGTGCTCCGCTAGCGTATATCGATAGCGCAGGCGGGGTCACCATTCTATTATCACCCATTAAAAAAAAATCGTACCCCCGACCCACCTTACGACTTCAAATGAACTTTTATTTATCAAACTACGATTCAAGTCGATTTACTTATTTTCTAGGTTTGAGTAACGTTTATGCCAACGCTACTTCTAAGGCTTTGTTTGTTAATCAAAATGGATACCGCTTCTTAGGTTTTCAGTCATTTTTTACGTGATATTCTTTTAGTGTAGGCGTCAGTGAATCACTGAGTGTAATGTAGTGATTGTTTCTTTTTAATATTGTAATTACGTCATACGAGAGATGAGGGCGTTATCAGCACGTGGAATGTAAGAATGAATGGAAGATAAGATCATAAGATGAACGAGCCAAAATGTAAAATATTCGAGTGATGAATGACATATGTATGTAAGAATTAAGACCGAGATAGCGCTATGATATATAAATATATGTACATACTTGTGTAATTTTATATTTTATGTATGTTGTTTAAATTTATCCCGCAGTTTTACATCTCATTTATCCCTCCCACTACTATGAGTACAGGTCTCTCCCGAAAAGGAGGATTACTAATATATTTTTATATATTATTTACACAAATTATAATATGATTAATTTCGTATATCTCTCGATGGCATTATGTCGTCCACATGGAATGCCTATTCAACTCGTTTATATAAAATGTGTCGTATTAGGAATCGGTTATCTTTTTATTGGGTGGAAATGGAATAGTAGCTACGCCCGCACTATCGGTATACCGGCGTGGCGCCAGTGAAAGATGGTAGATGAGAATGAATGCAGGTCAGTTAGCCCACCATGACAAATACGATAAAAATTAACCATGATGGTTTCCAGGCGGAATTGCGTGGAGGTCAACCAAGGTGGAGGAGAATGAGGGAGGATATATTGCTACTAACAATCCCAGGTATCGGGTATTGTGACCTTTTATACCGCCCCGGAGATGAAATTGATTCGCATCGTTTTTCGTTATCTCAAACCAAAATTAGATTAGGCTTGGAGCAAGTCTAAATCATTGTTAATATGGTAATCATGGCTACATATAATATCAGATAATACAATAATATGTGTATAATTTTCCATCAAAGCCAACACGTGTTGCCGCCGTAATGTTATGCACTTGTGTACACATTAATACCATAAGCTTTGTTGCCGAGATTACATTATATCAGCGGCCGAATTATACGCCTTGATTCAGATTGTAATTTTATTGTATTGAAACAGTAATAAGGGAATTGAAAATAAAATGTTTTTGTAGTATCCTCTGGGAAACAATACGTGCCGCATTTTATACGAATTTGATTATTATTAGGCGAGACTTCTGAAGGTTTTGTTTTTTTTATTACGTTATATTTAAGTCAATTCTAAACTGATCTTTACAATTATTTTGTAACTGATAAGATTTACCTAGTTGTTGATGGCATGTTAATTTTGTAAAGCCGTCATAGAAGTTATTGAAGGGAATCCTTTTCTACTTGATCAAGCGGGTATCCTGAGCTGAGCCGCTGCCTAATCGAGACCTATTGTCATACGTACCGACGCCGTGTCGTCAAACCTAATGGTTTTCAAAATTCGAAGCCTTAAAACTACAAGACACGTGGTCTGTCCGTCGAGATATGTCGAAGCTGCCGTTTTGTTCACTGGGCTGGGGGAGGGGGCACGTGAAGTTCGACCTGACAGAGTATATTGCTAACAATGGGACTGGTAAATCGCATTACTAACAAACCCTCCCCCCTACACACATGAGGGTAGTTCATCATCATCTTAAACCTCTACTTTCTTTTCACTCTTTTTGGAACTCGGTGCTTGAAGCTGTCATGTCCAGCATAAATATATTTTGTGATGTCCATGGTTCATATCGTCCACAGTTACCACTTTGGTGGGCCGTTATTGTTATTCTGCATAGCATATAAATCGTGATAGCACACCGTCAGTACTGCACCGTCTCTTTATTTGGTAAACATCAACACCTAAACAATAGATCGTCGTAATAATTGCGTAATTACAGCTACAGTTTGTATATTTGATGTCGAAAATAATGGAAGTAAGTAGTTAATTCTAGTAATTAATTCGATACGGTGATTGTAATTGGCTGAAAGTACGCTCTAGATATTTTTTAAGTTTATTGTGACGTCATTCAAGGATTCCAGTGAAATATCACCTGTATATATCTATCATATATATAATAATAAATGTAAAATTTTATATTTATTTACAGTTTTACATTTCCTTCCAACCCCCTTATACAAGGTACAAACGATTCTATTTATGCCAGGTTGTCTATAAGAAATCGCTTTTATCGATAAGACTGCCTTTTATGTATGCGCATTCTGTATAAATGTAATAAATAATCCTTGTTATATCTCTTTTGTGCGTAATAAAGATTTTATTATTATTATTATTTTAACGATAGATTCGTTTGTTGTCTGGGGAGTGGGGAGAGGAAGAGCAGGTTGCTTAAAACTTTATAGTATTCATCTAAAGCTAAGATCTAAAGATAGAATCTCCTCTTGTTAGAAATATTGTTATAAATAATTTTGAAAGGTAAAAAAAGCTAACGGCCCATTTAATAGAAAATGGTCACCGTCACCTATAGACATGAACAGCACAGACATGATGGCCGTGGCAATCTTTATACATTATCATTCCTGATTTATAGAGTTGCCCATACAGCCGACTTTGTTTTCTAATACAATCTCCCCCCTGTGTCGATTAAAAATACATTCCATACATTTCATTCATTTATTCATACTGTTGTTTATTTCACGAATATTCTGATTCTTATCAGCAACACCTATTTTCTGATTATGCGCGATAGATAACGAAATTACTTTGTGACACAGTTTGTAATGAGACATGTGACGGTCGGTTGTTTTAATGTAGAAATCATGTGTATTAAAAAAATAATACTAATTGAATAATAATAATTATTATTATTATTGTTTTTGGAGAATTATTATTAGTAGTGCTTAGTGAGCGATAATGTGCAAGTGTTGTGTACTTTCAAAGTTTGTTTTTTATTCAGTATTAGGTACTTATGTACATATTGATTACCTTCGTCTTTTATAGTTACCATTTATCTATGTCTTTTTTAGATTTCAATGCGGAAAACCTTAATTTACATTTTCTTAATGCTATGAATTAAAGAAACTACTCGAAAGAAAGAGACCAAACGATTTTCCACTCTTATTCACATTAATGTAAAATTATATCTTCTATATTTCTATAATATAGCTAATAGTATATTCTATAATATATATAATAATAAGGGGAATGTTTAACTTTATATTAATTTTCAGAAGCCAATATTGGCTCTATTGCTTGGGTTCGTTCACTATTTCAATTTGACTCTTGTTAACGAAAAATTTAAAAATTGAAGTGGATTGTAATATTCGAATATAATGAAGGGTATAATTACATAGTATAGTGCAGTATTAGTGTAGTGTCATAACCAGAGGACTTGTATGAAACGAAGGCGGTCTAGAAACTCTTGATACTAGAGGGTGATATTTACGCACGAATAGTAATAGAGTAATGTAGCATAATGTACAACCAGCATACACTGCCTAGAATGAAAAGGAGGGAATCATGGAGAAAGAAAAGGGTGAGTTGGGTACTATATTAATTTAACATTATATACCTAGGTAAATTTCTTGATTTTTGTCTACAAAAGTTATTTTTAAAAGTATCACAGTAGATATACTGTAATACTTTTAAAAGTTCTAGTAGTAGATATACTAATTAATGTAATTACACTATTTTAATGTAAATCTTTCTTTTTTTTTTCAATTTATTACGAATATTCCTATTTAAAAATGTAGTTTCACGAAAAAAACTACCACAATTATAACAAAATTTATATAGGGCCAACATGAAAGTCAATCAGTTTAGAATTACAGAAGATATCATAGAAGATGTAATACCCGTACGCGTAAAAAAAAGCCGCGACCTAACTCTTTTTTATAATCACGTAAAAATGCAATGACTGCATATTTATTTTGAGCTCGCAATTTCCATTTTGATATGGCGTTTTGATAATGTTTAATATTATAAAGGAATTATAAATTTATTCATACTGATAACGATAAACAATAGAAAAAAATCAAATTTTTATTATGCAATCGATTAAATGATGCAGTGTGACTATCATTGTACAGTGTGTTTCACTAATTAAATCCTTTGTCGTCATCACGCATTAAATAATGAAATCATACGGAACCGTAATCTCTATTGATATTATGTATAATGCGATAAGTCCAAACTGACGCATCGCCGTTGATCCGAACCTATCAAAAAAAAATCGTCGCGTCAAATCTGCCTTTTGGAAATTGATTAAAACTTTTGAAATTATATAGTGTTTTCGTTGCAACGTTCCATAGTAGATAGATACCCTTTATTGTTTCCTCCAATAGATTACAACAGTAAACTTATTACAGATACAAACAATTATAAGAAATTAATATGATTTAGATTAATTTCTAGATTTTCAAAAGAACAACTTCCTAAAGAAGGTTCCCGGTTGGCCTGTATTTTTTTGTTTGTGTATCTGTTACAGAATATATTCGTTAAATTTGATCCGATCTTGCAAATTGCTAATAAATTATTTTTGCTATCAATAAGGCAAAAATATTATATATATTTAATTATATTTATAAAATATATCAATATTACTCCTCTTTGCCCCATATAGTTTTTGTTATGACTGACGCAATTTTTTATGCGGTGCAAAATGCTAGGAATGGAGGCAGCGAAACAAATTGTCGGCGGACCCTATATTAGCAATAACGTCAGTAATAAAAGCTAATCTCAACGAGCCTTTAATATTTGTATGCACTGATGATATCATTGTGACATCACGCTGGGTCAGTGCCGACTAGTGTTTGCCATACAAACTCATATTGCAACATGTGGGTGCTGGCAATCTTGTTAAAACGCTTGCAATTATGATAAACTTTATTAAACATAAGGCTAAACATATTGCAATGTTTATTTGACAGCAAGCTGATTCAAATAAATGTTTTTTTTTTATACGGACAAATCACACAGATTGAGCCAGCCCCAAAGTAAGTTCGAGACTTGTGTTATGGGATACTAACTCAACGATACTATATTTATAATAGATACATATATAGATAAACATCCAAGACTCAGGCCAATCAGGAAAAGATCGTTTTCCATCATGACTTGGCCGGGGATCGAACCCGGGGCCTCCAAGTCGCAGGCAGGCGTGTTGACCGCTGCGCCACCGAGGACGGCTTTTTTATTTTGCTCCGTAAAATAAAAAAGCCATTTCAATCGAGTGGCAGAATATTAATTTACCAAAATTTTCGGAGGAAAAATCAGTTTGTAGTCCTTTATAATCATACCGGCACGCTGATCGATTACTTAACTGTTAAGAATAGAATAGAATAGAATAGAAATCATTTATTCAAATAAACTTACATTGAAGCACTTTTGAAAAGTCATTACATTTTTTTTAATTTACCGCTCGTTCGGAAAGCTGTCTCATCACAAGAAGAACGAGCAAGAAACTTGCGTGATGCTCTTTTAAATAATTTTATTATTATTTTACATTTTTAAGTTTAATTGTGTGAATACAAACCACCAATTAGCACTAATTCAATTAAATACTCAAAAAGAAAAAAAAATTGAATACATAACCAACTGGTTAAACAATTAATAAGAGGAAATCAGTCATAGTGATTAGAGCAGACCAGTCCCTACAAGCAGCACCCGTTCACGAGTATGACGGATGAGCCAGCCATCACTGCGCTCGACCATATTTTAGGGAGCCCAATGACCCGGCCCACCACGCCGCCACAAGTCTGGACATTTTAGTGAGCATGACTACTCAAAACACTAGACCACGTCAAAGCTACTCACAATTGCCATCTGATAGTTATAGTATTCACATTTTACATAAGAATGCATGCGGCAATTAATACAAAAAACCGCTACGCTTTCATATTTCTAAAATTAATCAATTAAATCAAGAAAGCAATGAGAAAATAAAATTATAACGTTGTATGCTAATAAACTAATTATTTACTTGATATGTTGTCATCTATGAATTCGTCTATCCTGTAATAGGCTTTCTTACATAAAAATTGTTTAATATAAGATTTGAATTGCCTCTCTGTCAGATTTAATGCAGATTCCGGCAGTTTATTATAAAATCTTATGCAATTACCATAGAATGAATTACTGATTTTGTGCAGACGGCATTTAGGTAAAATAAGCTTATTTATATTGCGTAAGTTTCTACTTGTACAGTCTTTGAGTTTTTTAAAACTCGCTAAGTTCTTCCGTGTATACATAATATTTTCATAAATGTATTGTGAAGTAACTGTGAGGATATTTGAGTCTTTAAAGCACTGACATAATGACTCTCTTGAACCCATACCATAAATAGAACGTATGGCTCTCTTTTGTAAAACAAATATAGTATTTATATCGGCTGCTTTAGCCCACAGCAGTATGCCATAAGACATTATGCTATGGAAATAACTAAAATATACAAGTTTAGCCGTCGCCACGTCTGTTAATTGCCTAATTCTTCTAATTGCATATGCAGCAGAACTGAGTCTACTGGCCAATTTTGAAATATGGGGCCCCCATTGTAATTTCGAGTCCACTGTTATACCTAAAAAAACTGTATCATTAACAAAATTTACTATTTCGTCATTAAGCAATAACTGTGTATTTATTAGTCTTACATTAGGAAGTGTAAATTTTATACACTTTGTTTTGCTGGAATTTAATAATAGGTTATTACATGTAAACCAATTTAATATTGCAGACATAGCACAATTTACATCGTCTAATTGATTACTTTGACGTCCAATTTTAAACACTAACGAAGTATCATCCGCAAACAGCACTATATCTGCAATTTTCTCTACCATAAAGGGAAGGTCATTTATGTAGATTAAAAAGAGAAAGGGGCCTAAGATTGACCCTTGTGAAACGCCCATCTTAATATTAGCTCCCTTAGATTTTACACCGTCAATATCTACAGTTTGAACCCTATCCTCTAAATAAGTTCTCATTAATTTTAGATCATTATCTCTTATACCATAATGTTCGAGCTTGTACAAAAGCGTTTTATGATCCACACAATCAAATGCCTTTGATAGGTCACAAAAAACTCCGAGTGCATCCTGTGACCTCTCCCAAGATTCGAAAATATGTGTCATTAGCGCAACACCTGCGTCAGTGGTAGACTTGCCGGCGGTGAAACCATATTGCTGACTGTGAAGCAGTCCGTTAACCCTGAAGTGATGTAACATTTGATTTAACATTATCTTTTCAAACACCTTACTTAGAACTGGCAAAATAGATATAGGTCTATAGTTCCCTGGCTCAAATTTATCTCCTGATTTAAATAGTGGGATTAATTTGCTAAATTTCATTAAATGTGGAAAAACGCCATTATCAATACATTTATTAAAAATAGTGGCTAGATATGGAGCAACAATATCTATGAAAGAACTAACTACTTTTACAGACATGCCCCAAAGGTCTTCCGTATTTTTTAAATTTAGCTGTTTGAATATTTTTATGATATGAAAGGGGCTAACATGTGAAAATTTAAATCTTAAAGAACAACAACCGATATTAGTCTCTAGTAATTTTTTTGCTCGAGATTGAGATGAGTCCAGAGAAGATGTAATATCAATCGGAATATTAGCAAAAAAATCTTCAAAAATATTAACTACATCTTTTGTTGTTGTTATTAATTTATTATCATAATTTAATGTAAATTGATTACAGGCTATTTTAGATCTTCCAGTTTCTTTATTTATAATGCTCCAGATGGTTTTAATTTTGTCAGAAGACTGCTTAATTTGTTTATTAAAATAATTAGACTTAGCCATAATACAAACTTTTTTAAAAATTTTAGAATAATTTTTTACATAAGTGGTGAATTTGTCATCAAATCGATATTTTTTTTGATCGTATAAATCAAACAAAATATTTCTACTTTTAAGTATTCCTACTGTTGCCCATTCCGTGAATTTAGATTTAACATGAACTTCTTTTTTCTTGAAAAATTGTTCATATTCTCCGGATAAAATATTAATTAGCTTGGTGTAAAGATAATCAGGATTATTACTAGATTGTAACAGCAAATCCAATTTATTTTTAATCGCGCTTTTGTATTTATTAATATTGTAAACGTTTATTTGTCTTTTTGATTTTTTATTATTGTTGACTTTATTGATTTGACTGCTAAACTTAACAACTTGACCACAGTGATCTGAAGGAAGTTTATTTATTATGAATTTTTCTGTATACTCGCAGTTACAAAAAACATTGTCAAGACAAGTAGCAGACGTGGCAGTTACACGAGTGGGTTCATGAAAGACATGACATAAATCAAATGACTGAAATAAACTAATAATTTTTGTACATGTGGGTGTGTTACAAAGAATATCAACGTTAAAATCTCCACATACAATAATTTTTTTAATACTATTAAATACTTTTTTTAAAATATCCTCCATCACCCCTTCAAAAACATTGTAATCACTATTAGGAGGCCTGTACACACATATAAGGATATAATTTTCTAGTTCTATACAAGATAATTCTATACAACAC